CCCCCCAATGCTAGAGTTATCCTCCTGAGTTCATTTCTTGAGTATGGGCGTCGCTCCTGTGCAAAACATTCTACATGTATTTGGACAGAACAGGGGGTCAAATACATTTGTAGCGAGACAGATCTTGGGAGCATTTCTAGCTCCAAATACGTATAGAGTGTGCTGTAGTCGAGCGAGGCCCTATGCGTTTGTTTGTTTGTTTTTTAAATTTGTTTTTTGAAAGAAATAATTTAATTACGGACCCAGTGCCCAAGGCAAAGCCGAATACAATGTCAAAAAAAAAAAAAAAAAAAAAAAACAATGTGTCGAATAAGAAGAAAATTCAGGGGCTGGTAGGCGTCCAGCCCTACACGCCAGGCGGCAACCCCTCCCCTGGGCCGAGGTCCCACTAGGTAGCAAAAAGGATAGGATCGAGCTCCTGAATCTGGATGTGTTTTAAGCACAGATGCAGAAAAGCAGTTCAATCTCGATTTCCTGCACATCTACATAAACTCGTCCAGATTCAGGCAGGCATTCGATCCGATCCTCTTTGCTAGTGGGACCACGCCCCTGTAGACAGACAGAGAAACCAAGGGGATTAAAAAAGGAGGCAAAACCAAGAAGAAAAGCAAAGAAATAACCAAAACTTACCTAAAAAGGGAATGAAAGGTAATTTCAAAAACAGAAGAAAATCCTAGAAAAACACCAGAACATACCAATCATCAAACCCCAAAACAGGAAAAAAAAAAAAAAAAAAAAAAAACTTATCTATTCTACCAATGTAAGTTTACCAAATTAAGTACTTTTAATTAAGCCTCAATCAAGAAAGGTCCAAATGTGTCTTTTCCTTTGTGATAATAATAGATATTACGATTAAAAAAAAAAACAAAAAAAAAAACAGAGCCTTAGGGTTCCGGATCCTTAAGGTATTATCCCCTCTTCCTCCCCAGATACGTTTGCAAGTTCAACAAAAAAAGGAAAAAAAAAAAAAAAAAGAGATGTACTGGAGCGAAGCCGTATGTGTCTTTTTTGTGATGACAATAGTTATAATCTTCCTCAGTTCATTTCTTGAGTTCTCTATTTATTATTTTTATTTATTTATTATTTTTATTTATTTATTTATTTATTATTTATTTGTTTGTTTTTTTGTTTTTGTTTTGACAGTGTTTCAGCATGGTTAGCAAGGCATGCTCATTGCTCAGCTTGAGAACTGTGGCACCTTTTGTGCGGGACGCTGGGCCCAGTTCCCAGCATAATAAAGATCTGGGTTCTTATATATTTAAAAAAAAAAAAAAAAAAAAAAAAGGTGCATCATGCTACTATGACAGGTAGCTATGCTTGCAGGGGCCTCATTTCTTGATTATAGACTTAGGAGTGGTTGTAGGTAGGTAGCGAAAGGTGAAACGGAGAGAAGAATGCAGCTTAGAAAAAAAAAAAAAAAAGAAGAAGAAGAAGTTGCAAAGCAACATATTCGATTTCTTTGTTTTTCGTCCTTTTTTCTCATGCCACTGTGATTCCTATTCTGAACAATTGTGAAAGGACACCAGGCCCTTTTTTTTTTCTTTTTTTTTTCCCCTGGCTCGTATAATCTTGTTTCCGCGTTCTGAGGAGGAGCTGCAAAACAATT